TATAGTTACCTCACTTTTAGCCTAATGCATTAGTAAATAGTAGCATACAGTCACGATCTCTCTTATTGACCTGTGTATGAATCGGCGGCGCGAAGCGCCGCAAAAATTTGCAAAAAAAAGTTGTCAAAACACAGCTCTAAAACACAAATATTACAACCTTTTTAGCATGCTAGTACAAGCCGGAGTTCCTTCACAGTACACATATGAATTCCGATTCAATTTGACACGGTTGGTGTTATTACAGTCACTGTTATTTCTCTCTTATTGATTGGTGTATAAATCGGCGGCGCGAAGCGCCGAGAAAATTTGCAAAAGAATGTGTCGAAACACAGCTCCAAAACACAAATTTTACCACCCTTTTAGCATTGCAGTACAAGCCGGAGTTCCTTTACAGCACACATATGAACTCTGATTCAATTTGACACGGTTGGTTTATGTAATTACAGTCAAGATTTCGTATTGACCTGTACGTATGTACATAAATCGGCGGCGCGAAGCGCCGCGAAAAATTTGCAAAAACATTTGTCAAAACACAGAGGGGGCCTCCTCTCTACAGAGGACCACCGATCTCTACTGCGGGCCTCCTCTTTTCACAGGGCCTCTTAACTACAGAAGCTACAGGGCCTCCTCTCTACAGAGGGCTTCCTCTCTACTGAGGGTCTCTCCCTTTAAGAGGGCCTCCTTTACAGAGGGCCTCCTCTCTTCAAAGAGCCAGAGGACCTCATCTCTGCAAAGGGCCTCCTCTCTTCAGAGGGCCTCTTCTCTACAGAGGGCCTCCTTTCTTCAGAGGGCCTCTTCTCTACAGCGGGTCTCCACTCTTCAGAGGGCCTTCTGCATTCAGGCGGTCTCCTTTCCACAGAGGGCCTCCTCTCTACACAGGGCCTCCTCTCTACATAGAGCCTTCTCTCTACAGCAGGTCTCCTCTCTACAGAGGGCCTCCTCTTTAAAGGGGTCTCCTCTCTACAGGGGGCCTCCTCTCTACTGAGGGCCTCCTTTCTACAGAGGACCTCCTCTACAGAGGGCCTCCTACCTACTGAGGAGTCAGAGGGGCCCTAGCGGTCAGACACAGACACTAGCGGTTATTCACTGGAGGCCCCAGGAAGTAAGAAGGGCCCTAGCTGTCAGGCTGGTCAGAGGGCCCTGAATGTCCTGACGTGATTTTTGGGATTCCCGTGAATTTCTTTCGCCTCAGACGTGATTTTGACCTGCCAGGGCCCAGGGGCACTAAAAATAAAACAAACAAAATAAAAAATGAAAATAGGACATCACCAAAATTAAGTGACCGAAATCCGTTGAGTTTTTAATTTTGCGTATAGGTAGGGGCACCACGAATTAAATTCATGACCATCCCCTTGGAGTTTTCCTGGATCATCCCCTGGTGCTCGCACGGTTGAGACAAAAACGAGTAAGATTCTGGTCTTCAATACGCCTTTTCACGCAACACGATCCAGAAAAACAAAGGTATTAGCTCAGAAGTGTTTGACAGGTGATTTTGAGCATGCAAGACGGCGTCTATAGCGCATTTAGGTCTTCGGCTTTTGGGGGGGGTCAAATGACCCTCTCAGACCTTTTGGGGGGGGTCATGACCCCGTGGACCCCCCCCAGGATCCGCCAGTGTTTCCTCCCCAAAGTCGCACGCATGAACTAGTCCCGTACTTTCTCGCTTCGTCCGACTTTCAGGTGAACGTTCACTCAATCTGACTCCCAACTGTATTTTCAGCTACGCTGTTATACCCCAAATCACTCAGTTAACACTTCTTTATCTCCCACCTCTAAATTACTGTGCTTCCTTTGTCAAATCCACTGTATGCTAGACCCTACTTCCTTCCTTCCTGTCCTCTTGCCAGCCGCTTTACCATTCATATTACTTAATATACCATCCACACATTTTCCAGCTGTTTATACATTTTATATCCCTGAAAGTGTTAAATTCAGCGCATTATAAACAGAACAGCACATCCTTACCATTTCACCTAGCTCTATGGACAGCTGCTACACTTTCTCTCCATCCCTGCTCTCTTGTCACCATCCTTTCCCCACCTCTCAGTCCAGTGTCCTCTATCCCCTCTCACACTCTCCCACATCTTCTGTCCCCTCTCCTTCTCCCTCACTCTCTCCACTCACGTTTGCTGAGGTCGGCCTCCTCCTCTGGTGTGATGTGCTCGGCCAGGTCGGTCAGTGACCCCTCGCCGGGACGGAACGCCTGCGAGAGACGCCGCCGGATCCGCTTCAAACTCATCGTGACGGCCGGCGGCTGACCAGACAACCGCGACAGCTGTCAGGTGGCAGCAGTGCAGTGGCAGGTGACAGATGCACTGCTAGCAGTCCAATTACAGCAGTCTGTGGAAGACAAACAGAACAGGGATATGATGACACTCAGAGAAATCAGATACTTCTCTCTCAAAGTACCTCACTAGTCAAGTAATGATCCGAGCCACCTAGCCACCCATGACCCAGCCCATAGCAAGAGCCAAGAGCAGGTGGCAAGGAGTAAGGATTCCATCTATCTGTATTTGTGAATAACAACAGGTAACTACCTACCTAGTTTAAGCACTAACCAGGTGTGAGAGCTTACACCTACCATCTCAGTCTAGCTTAGGAAGCAAATTAATAGCTTGTAAATGTATGAACCATCATAGAACTAATAAGCAATAGGAAGCTTGACGATTCTCTGGCTGTCTGGCCATGATTTGACACACCTGGTTCTGAGTTCATTCATTTATTCATTTAAACATTAATTCATTATCATTCATTGATCATTATATCAATGCTCAATAATTAATTTATCGATTCATTCATTCATTCATTCATTCATTCATTCATTCATTCATTCATTCATTCATTCATTTTTTATTCATAATCATCATTCAAATATTAAGTTTTGTCCTTTATATGGATTGGGTTGGGACATGTTTCTGCACCTAACCATCAGAACGTATTACTTATTCTGATCAATTCAGGTAGATAGTAGGATGAAAGTGCAAATAAATGGCATTAACAGTCAAAGGTGCCATTAATGATTCACTGGCATCTCAAAATCCACACAGACACTAGAAAGCGCTTTTTCTCTGTCAGATGCATTGCTGTTTGGAACTCACTGCCTGAGGATGCTGTCCGTGCACCTAACATAGCTAGCTTTAAGAAAATGATTGAGGTACATGCACGTAATAGCCTGTTCAGATATGATTGAGGATGAGCAGTGCTGATTTTGTAAGTAGTTATAGGTATGTAGGTTACTTCCTCGTAGCTAAGCGTGTAGAAATGTGACTGTGTTCATCTGACGAGCTTGTGGAAGACGCACAATACCAGTCAAAACTCCCAGGACTAATGGTCAAGAATATCACAACTGGGCTGGCGCGTCTGGCATTCAGGGTTCCTTCCAATTCCTTTCGGTCCTTCCACCTTGCCTTTTCTTTCCGACACAAATGGGAACCCAACCAGGTAAGAGAACCAGGTAAGAGGGCTCTCATTCAAACACTTTGACTTAATCATAGGTAAATCAAGGGTATTGGACTTGATCCACACTGTTGACCAGTCTGCTTGTGCTACGTCTGTCTTACTGATACTGACGCAAGAATCACATCTGAATTCTGAGCCGAGAATCATAATTATAAATAGTACCTTAAGTGTCAGCGGCAAAAGGCAAATCAGATTTGCGATAAGGCCACACAAAACGAGGCTGCCAGGTAATGGTCATGCATCTTATGATGTATCTGTGTACTGAAATTTATGCGAAAAACATTCATTTTAATTCTAATTGCCACAAAAACATATTGATATCGTCAGGAAGTAACAGCCACACCTTTGGTCAGTTTTCTGCAAACTGCTGGTAAGAGGCAGGTTAAAAAGCTTGCGTAATTACGTCGAACGCGAGTAGAGTACAAAATGATTCAAGTAAGTCAGAAAACACTCAGAGAAATTCAAAGGTGGATAAACAAATCACCCTTCAAATCGCGTCGTTGCGTCATGGCGTCGCAAATCAGCCAAAACTGCCTACAAAATAGTGCTGGACCGTTTCATGGATTCTAGTGACGGAAAAGTGCTTCGTAAATGATTCTTTTCGACCAAAGATTCGTCGAGATGCGGCTTCGGACTGATCGTTACGCCAGTACTCAGCGGCTTTGTTGCATTATAATGTTCTATAAAAATACAGAAAGCAGCAAAACAGCTACAAACATCTCCCTGCCACTCACCGTCGCGATTTTCCCTCACGGGACGGGTGCCGCCCAAGCCGAAGCCAGCGCTCACCGCTAGATCATGTGCCCAGACAGTCAGACTGGTCGTTTTTCTCCGCGAGTCACCCATGTCCGGGCAGATAAGATAAGGCTGCACATACGGGCGCTGACAGGCCGGCCGGCGCCACCTGCCCGATCCACAGCCGATCGAAGACGGGCGGGCGGCCCACAGGTCCCTACGCCCGGGGCGGTGTTCGGGTCGGCCCGGGTCAGGGGCGTGGGAGGGCAAAGCTATTGAGTTTACGACCGCGGGCTGTGACCGAGTTGTGGTCGCATTGTGCCGTTTTGCAAAAGTGGTATCTTTATTGCACTCGAGTCTCGAGGCATCGCACCTCCAGCCTCGGCTGTCGCAGGAACGGTTCGGTGTTTTTGCTTGAAATCGAAGCGTTTTGTGAAATGTTGAACGATAGCGTGTCACGAACTACGAAACAGTGCATAAGAGACCCAGTCATCGGTATCACTATCTGCCCGGAATTACGGACGATACAGATTTTGATAGCACCATTATCCGGAATGAACAGAGGCTCAGACAAGCTTACCAGATAGTTAATGACAGACACGTTGATTGGATAACAGATTGTCAGCCGAGTCGCTCGATGGGTTTCCTAACGGGAAATTATGTTCGATCCCGAACACACCGAATAAATAGCAGTTCTTTGATTTACCTTCAAATTTAGCTTGCTTCTATCAATCATTTAACATTGTAACTCGCGCATTATTCGTGCTCATATGCTGTTCTACACAAGCAACGCCACAAAAACTTACATGAATATGTCACTTTATTACACATAACATCTCAAATCAACAACAATCAAAGCAAGACATTCCACTATCACCTACTCCCAAACAGTATCAGCTATCACGGGACTCCAGTTTTTCACGCAGGATTTTCGACACTTCGGCCATATTGGCTCTATTATCGCAGGCCAGCCGAACGTCCTTGGCCAGCTGGTTGAAAATCTGCTTCTGCTTCTTGGGACTGGCCGCCCGGTACTTGGCCACCTAGGAAAGAAAGAAGAAGAAAGAACTGTCAACATTCTTGATTAAACAGTGATGCAGATTGCAATGGTGATGAGCCCAACCATAAATGACCGATCAATGTGCGAAAGAAAAAAAAATCAACTTGAATCAAGAAATCTCTGAATGAGTTTTTAAAAACAATTTATTGAAAATAGCAATGCGTCGCAATCAATTCCAAAAGCAGAAATTCACAGGGCAAACGGAGAAACTGATAGATTTAACACATTAGGCCTTTCCTCCTTTTGACTAGAACAGACGTGGGAAGGCGACGAGCAAAACTTTTCTCACCTTGTCCGCTGCGTTACGGAGGACGGTGTCGCAGGCCGCCACCAGCGCCACCTGGTCGCTAATCTGCGACCAGCCGCGCTCGGCCACCAGTATAGATGGCGCCACCATCGGCGCGTCGTAGGCGGCCTCCAGCAGCAGCGGCAGCACGGACGAGCTGATGGCGTCCCGCTGACGCAGGTCGAAAATCTCGCCGACCGATGACGGGCTCAGAGGACTGGAAATGAGCACAATCAAAGACCATCAGCACCATATCGCCAGTTTTATGTAAGTTGAATCGTAAAGTCCTAAAAATGACTGCAGTTCACAAATTCAGCCCTTAAATGGCTTTAGTCGTCCACTCCTCAGATAACAACCGCATCCTTCGCGACTCATCCACCCACAACCACCGCCACTGACCAGTCTGCGAACGTGCTGTTTCGCTCGTTGAGCAGAGCCTTGACGTCCATCCTGAGGAGGACGGCCACCGCCTCGGCGTCCCGCTGTGTGCCCGACACTCCGGATACGATCGCCTCGAAATACTCCATCAGACCCTCCTCCGTCTGACCGAGAGAAAGGGTAAAGGGGTGGTCACCTGTGGGGTAACGGTACCGGCGGACTGGTAGGACCAAAAATGACGCCACTGACTTGCTATTAATACCGTGACTCCAATGACTAATCACCTTTCGCTAAGAAACATCCTTAGTCCGACAAATATCGCAGCATTCCCACAACACTCAACAGAACACCAACCCAACAAACCGTCCTCCCAGGCCCGCTCACCGTCACTGCCTGCACGCTATCCGCTGTGAGCCGGTACTGTGTCTCCAGTCTGCTCCGTGTGGCTGCCGGCAGCTCGGGCAGGGTCTCCCGCAGTCTGTCCACGTCCGGTACACCGGCCAGGGGGCGGGCCGAGCACGAGAGGCGCAGAGGCGGCAGGTTAGGCTCCGGAAGGAACCGGTAGTCCTGGAACGGAGTCGAGCAGGTGTTACAAATGTGTTGCGTACAATTGTCACGACTTCGATTTTCTTTTAATATGTTGTGAGTTCCCGATTTTCATCTGTTTCTTTTTCCGATTCGCTGCCTGAAGGGTGTTTTAGTGTCGGTGTTGTTGGTTTAGCCGTCTCTCCGTCCGTTTCCGTCCGCGGGGCGCGGCGCTCCAGACCACGTGGTGTCCATGTGTGGCCCTGGCCGTGCGTCCCTGCGTCCGGTCCCCGTTTAGTTGTCACCCGAGGCCATATAACTACTTGTCACTCGACTGTCGCTAAGGAGAGGACCCGACCCGACCCGACCAGCGAGAGGACCAGGGCCCCTCCCCTCCCTGGCACGAGTGAATACAGCTGTAGCCGACAACCGGGAGTATCGAAACCCAACTAGCAAACGTGAATTCGAAATCGAACCGAACATTGCAACAACATTATAAAAGCTGTCAAGCAGCATAAAAGTACTGTTGTTACGCCGCGTCATATGATGACATGACATAACTGTATGACAGTTACACATTATGGCAGTTTCTCAGTATCGCAGTTGTACAGCATGACAATCACATGTTATCGGAGTGTAGGATAACACATTATGACACTTTATTTACACATTTACCTAGCTCCAGCCATAGGCCTCTGAACACCGTGGAGGTTACACTAGTACCCTAGTCAGCACTTCGCGCTGGGCACCGCTCCCTTCCCTACACCTCTATAACGCACCTGTACGACCTCCTTGTCCCTCATGGCCACCGTCTCGGCCGTCTCCGGGTCGTAGCTGCGGGTCTCGTTCACCACCCGGCCGCCGCTCTCCAGCAGAGCCACCTGTCGACCGATCTCGTACTGAACGGCGCGCGCCACGCCGCGCACGCTGCCGATATTTTTCACCTCGCTGCGGACGCCGAGCTGATGCGAGCCGGCCGGCCGGACCGACACATTGGCATCCACGCGGAGAGCACCCTCTGGGGAAGGAGGGGGGGGGGGGTTACAGTAAGATAGTCAGTCACACCCGATCTGGGAAGAAGGGAGAGGGGGGCTACCGTTCGCACCCGCACCGCACCACTGGGGAAGCTAGGGAGGGGGGGGGGGGAGGGTCAGTTAGACCGTCCCATTGACAGCGCGCCATCTGGGGAAGATTGAGTGTGCTGAACGCAGTACCCTGTGCCCGACTGGTTAAACGATTGGCGGCGCGACTGAACTGCTGTTCCAGGAGCTGGCGGGATTAAATTACGGCGCCAGCCCGGCGGGACGTCCGTCTGAGCGGGGGGAAGGGGGGGGAGCACCCGAAACAGACAGTCACCACCTAGCCCGCCTGTTCGCACTGTGCCGCGAAGGAGACGGCAGCGCGCGGCTGGCTCCGGCCCACGTGGTCGACCGGGGCCCACGTGGTCACCTGCGGCCCACGTGTGCGGATGACCTCTGTCGATGACCGGCACCGACGCGCCGGGCCGGCTCGGAGGTTGGCGACGAGAGGAGGAGGGTAACGGCGTCGCACGTTAACAAATTTTTTTTGTGTACACTGTACTCTGCAACTTAAAATCAATAAATAATATATTACAGAACACTTTTGGTCCTATTGGTTACGAATCGTACCGATTGAATACGATTTATTAGTGACCTTCACAATTCGCACGAGCAATGCCTGATCGTTTTCTTCCTGCGGTGTTGGGTTGTCTGTACACGTAGGAAAAGAAACTTACAATTGGAAATCTGCTGACACATCAAGAGGAAGAAATAAATGCACTAGGTTCTCACCACAAAAAGCAGAGGCACGAAGAGGAAGACAAGATAAAGTCATAAATAAGCATCACACTCGATAACTAATATTTTCATGCGTACAAGCACATCCTACTGTAGTTAGCCGCCCCCCCCCCCCCCGCAAAAAGACTACAGCGCCGACAGCGCCCAGCGGCCGCCCAGCTGACTGACCCTCCATTTTGCAGGAGCAGGTGCCGATGCGGCGCAGGATCAGGATGAGCTCCTTGACGAGCGCGGCCGCCTCCTCTCCGCTGCGCAGGTCCGGTTCGAACACCAACTCCATGAGGCCGCAGCCGGCCCGGTTCAGGTCAATCAGCGATCTGGCGGCAGGTCAGGTCAGTCAGCGACCTGGCGGCAAGTCAGGTCAGTCAAAGACTGAGCGGAATGATAACGTCGCTGGCTAAATGATAGCTTAACTCGCAAGCGCTGGTTGGGAAGTGACGCTGTAGTTGCCAGTATGATACCTCACGTGCACTGTACACCGCAACAAACCACATGCCAGCCTGACCCCTCTCCGCCGGAATGCGGTGGGGGCCAATCACGACAGCGTGCTCACAAACCCGCGATTAATCCCACCACAGGTAGCCGAGTTCCCGGCGTCCTCAAAGAGGGGGAGCCGCCCCGCGGACAGACCCCCACAGCGAGACACGGCACCGCCGACCCCAGACGGCCGAGGGGCTCACCCCCGCCGGAAACGGGACAGACCCCCCACAGCGAGACACGGCACCGCCGACCCGAGACGGCCGAGGGGCTCAACCCCCCCCCCCCCTCCCCCCGGACCCGGGACAGACCCCGCAGGGAGACGCTACACTGGTCAGGCCGGGGCGGCAGCGTCCCATCGGCCGCCGACCAGCCGGCATCCCTGTTGCTCACTCACTCACTACAACAGACGAACGTGTAACATTGAGCCATGTCAGGTGCTAAAAATATAATCGGTAGTTAAAAATATCGATAATTAGCCACAGCCGTGTAGTGAGACGAACAGTTGACACGGGGCACGGTCTGACGGATCCGCCCCTGCCACTGACCTGTTGTTGTCGAGGTCGTGCAGGCTCTTGCCGCTGTCTTGCTCCAGTTGCAGACGCGCTAGGCGGACCGACAGGGGCCTACCGGTCCCGGCCAGCGGGAACGGACAGCTCGCCACCCTCGGCCAGCGGCAGACGCTGCTGGGTGATCTGGTAACCGGCCTGGCAACACACAACACCGAGCCGCGCATATTGAGGTCATAAATACAGGAAAACGCCAGTGAAATAAAGATGAATGATTAAACACCGTTAAATGATTAAAAAAGATTAGACAATGATGTCTGCCGAAAGCCTCGCTGTCAGTCCTTTTGATATGGAGTTGTTATTGCAATACTATTTATCCATTGCACATTTCCTTCGTTTAGTTCAACTAAAACAACTTTCACAGCAGACACAACTCCAACCGGCAGCACAACACAACACGTTTGACACAACAGTGCGACCGGCCCAGACATCCTGTTCCACTGCCGGGGCCCATCGCGGCACGTACCGGCATATCAGCGTAGAAGTAGTGTTTCCTGTCGAAGGTGGAGACGGTATTGACGCGCATACCGAGCGCCAGCGCCGTCAGGATGCCCGCCTCCACACAGCGCTCGTTCAGCACCTGGCACAGGTCACACAGTTCAGAGGTCAGAGGTCAGAGGTCAGAGGGAAACAGTTAGATGAAACGGATCAGAGATAAGACTCCCCGAACACAGAGCCATCGACTACAGAAATGGGTTTACGGGTCAAATGCTATAAAAGTCGATAGACACATTGTCTGTTGTTTGTTTGTTGGGGCTGAAGGGCGGGTCGATTAAGTATCACAAGTTTATTGGCCACAGGTCATAGGCAAAGGCACAATGAAGTCGGCAGAACATTACTCCTAACCAGCACCTTGAACCTGTCCCAACTAACACCAAACCGCACCCAGTCTCTATCCTCCCGCCTCCCCTATCGACTCTCACCGGCAGCGTGCCCGGGAAGGCGGCGTCCAACAGCTGAACGCGCGAGTTGACGGGCGCCGCGAACTCGCAGCCGGCCGACGAGAACAGTTTGGTGCGCGCCGACACCTGAGCGTGCACCTCCAGTCCGATGACCGGCTCCCAGGCGGCCTCGCGGGCCAGCGGCGCCGTGCTAGGGAGCGGGCTGAGTGGTCAGCAGTCAGCAAGCGAGCGTGGCCTCGTGGGGATTTTTTATTTTTTTTTATTGGGGCTTTGGGGCGCGCCGAGTACGAGCGTGAGGTTCAGATCAGTGTGGAGCTCAACACTGGTAGCACTGTGTTCACGGGTGGAACTTTGTGCGGAGCTGGGAGGGCCCAGGCGCAACAAATCCGCCGCCGCCCTAGCGGTGACCTTGACCTCCGCGGTCTGTTGCGGCTCCAAAGCCAAGCCGGCGTCGAATTTGGAGAGCTCGGGCCCTCCCAGCTCGGCACAAAGTTCCACCTATGACTGTGCATGAAAGTAAGCTTCGTCGGCGAAAATGACGGAAAAGTTTAGCCTAATAACTGCAAAGAATTCCTTCATAGTGGTATTGCGGTTCCCACACAGTGGCATTGAAGTTTCGCTGCCCCCCCCCCCCCCCCACACACACACTTTTCAAGAAGTTCCTACGCCCATGAGCCGGAAAGTAAAGAGATTGGAATCTGTACCTCCCACATGTGATGCATGCATTGCGTAGTCCGTACCAAGCAGCTCCACAACCCTGTCGTCTCACCTGAAGCCGCGCCCGGCGCTCACCAACAGCCGCCGCCAGCCGAGCCACATGGTGACGTCACTGGACAGAGGATGACGTCACTGGAGTGGCGGTCCTGCCGGCAAACGGGCCGACTGCACTGACGGGACGGCATACCTACACATTACACACACATACCACGGTTGATCCATCCCATCCCGAGCACAGTGATGGTGGCGACCCCAGAGTATGGGCACACCGCTAACAATGCGGCCGTACAGGCCCCTCATACCGTGGCCTGCCGGGACCGTCCCCGGAGCAGGGCCCCAAGTCTGCCGAACCTCTGGCACCGATAACAGCGCATGGGCGCCGGGACGTATGGGAGCACGCAGACCTTCATGTACCCCACACGGACCTCGTTCGGGAAATGTCGGTGGTGTCAAATGTGAGAATGATGTTATTTGTCGGGGCCGTGCCTCTTCGCGTGAGGATGCGGCGGGCGGCTGTCACGCCGTACTCCGAGAGCCCGTCCGCTATGTCCTCGTCACTCACGTTCCGCAGGTCATAGCAGTTGATGACTCCTCGAGAGGAGTTCTTGGAGCGGTGTGGCTCCACCGCCAACGGCAAAGAGACGAGCTTCCGACCGGAGGCACGTCCTTCGGAGTACACAAATCGAGTGGCGGCTAAGGCCTTCGTTGCCTCTTCGCTCTTCCGGAACTCCACCTCAAGTGCTCCGTCCCACATGCGGTCGCAGCGGACGATACTGCCGAGCCGGTCACAGCCGTCCTTCCGCTGGAAGGGCGACAAGGAGCTCAGCTCCCGGTCTGCGCTCCGGAAGATGAGGATCCTGGGATTTTTCGGTTTTGGATCGTGCAACGTTCGCCCGTCGGTCGAGGCCGGCGGGCGAGAATCGACCGAAGCCGAGTGATTGGTGAGAGAGGGGGAAGTTGGTCAAGGTATCCATGCAAGTCTGTTGGTCTCCGCCAGCTCGTCCGCCGACGCTCCGCAACGGCGCCGCTTCAAGGCCTGGGACGGCCGAGCTGACTGTACGGGACTTGGCGGCACCTTCCGAGGGAGAGAGAGAGAGAGGGACTCACCACCCCCCGCGGTCGGATACCGCCTCCTCCCTTGACGCCTCGCCGAGTCACCGCCAGGGGCAGCGACAGATCAGTCCCACCGACGGAGGACGAGCACAAGTGCCCGAACGCCGCCGGCGACACCTCTCCGACACTACCCCCGGCGGCATCACGACTGGGAATGGCTCCTCAAGTGCGGCGCCCCACTGAGTGTCCCGCCCTTACAGAACTCAGGGCCAAAGAGGCGTGTTGCCCAGCCACCGCGACTGGCTCCGCACGACGGAGGGCTCAACCTCCAGCATCCCGTTGCCCTGGGGTACGGGTCGGCTCGCCTAGCCTAGTAAAACCGGCTGGTACCCGAGGGGACGCCACTCCCCTTACACTAGCCCAACTCGGCTGTGTTCCTGCGGGTGCAACAACAACGAAAGAGGGGGGGGGGGTGAAAAAGGAATGAGAAAATCAGCGATCGAACAAAACACGGACATCCGGTAAGGAAACAAAGCAAGAGCAAACAAAGACCGCGCAGCAGAAACAAACCACGGAAACCAAGAGAATTCGGGCCGAACCATCTGTCCATCCAGTGATCAGAGCAAGTCGTAGGCAAGCAAGGGTCAAGCTGGGGCCGAGGAGGCGCTACTCACCTTGCTGGCCGGGGCCAGGGTCGCCGCGAGGCAAGGGCCCAAGGAACCCAGCCCAATAGCGACCCAGGCCACAGCTGCCAACCCCCTGCGGGGCCAATCCTGCAGACAATCCATCCGGCAGGCAAGGCAAATCCAAGTCACACGCGCGTCAAGCTGGGGCCGAGGGGGCGCTACTCCCCTTACTGGCCAGAGTCACAGCCGCCGCAAAGCCGGGGCCCACGGACTCACATGGACAACCTCGCGCTGCAGGCAACCTCGCAAACAGCAGCCTCTTCCGAACTGCGATCAGCGCGTCTAATTGTTTCCATCACAAAATAAATATATATGGACGAAGACAGCGAAAATAAAGTGGTAAAGAACACTGAGTCATCCTTGACTACCTGCTGATCTATAGCCCCTCGCCGCTGGCGGACCTTTGTTGCAGAGTACGACAACCACGATACTTGACTTGGTCGATACTTGTCAGAGATAAGGCGCACGGCGAGATGAGTAACTTCCTGGGAGCAGCCTAGCCTGTTGTTGGTTGATACATTACATCACTTATATTTGTTCGTTTCCTAATACTCGGATGGACGCCACGAGCGACTCCCGTCCCGTTACGCCATTCCGCCTCCAGTGCTGCCTCCAGCACGCCGGAATGTCATGATCAATTCATCAGTTATGCTAAAACAACAGCAAGACACAAGTATATCGCACCATCGCTGGCTTCCTGCCACGGATGGGAATCAACGTGCCAGATTTCCAATACATACTCAGCAATGTGGTCCACTTGGAGGCCATCAGGACAGCCTGGAAAACACCTTCAAGGAGGCGTTGCCCAAGGCACCGCTGCCGCCGGTGGTGCTGGCTGACGCGCGCCTACCTGCACGACGCGCACACCAGGCAGGAGTACCTGGCCGCAATCACCAGCGTGTTCGGCGAGGTTCTGAAAATGGACTCTACCCGCAAGGTATGTAAACTCGAGTTGGCAGGTTAACTTCCCCCTCGGAAATGCATATATATTTATTGTTGGGCCTCCAATAAGCTAAAAAAGGTGAATAGGTACTGATCAGTGAGCAGCAACAGTGGGACAAAGAACCGTGATGTCGCAAGCAGTGGTTCGGACATTTCGAGCATTTGCAGTGGGTGTGGGCGTCAGTGAAAGGCAGCAGTCTAGAACGGCTTCAAAAACATGGAGTGAAACAGAGATGAAAAAAATGAAATTAACAGCACAGAAGCCCACCGGAATGTCACAGTGCGCAAAAACAACAGAAAAACGCATGAAAACACCATGAAACTAAGATTAAGACTCTCGAAAGGTTTGTCAAACGACATACAAATGAAACGCTCACAGAAAACGACATGACGCAACCCATCATTACAAAACAACTCCCGAAAACACCACGATTGTAATGTAAACCGACGACTAGACGGATCAGAATGCGAAATCAAGTCCTGTGCAATGATGGATGATGAAAACAAAAATGGTGAAGAACACTGAGTCATGCGTATTACTTCAGCTACTTTGTTCAGTGGATCATACGTGAACACATTGGAGAGCGGATCACGAGAACTGTGGAAAGAAGTGGATGAGAAAAAGCTCTGCAAGGACATTTGGCTGCGGGGCGATCGCGTGCCAGCGCCGCATATCTGGACATGGTAGTAATGAGGCGGTAGAATGGCTTCACCATTCTACACTGGTGGTATGGCACTGAGTGAAAACACTAAGTCACTAGGCTAGTCCACGTGGTGTGCCTTGCGTTAAACGACTTGGCATAACGATACTGTAACGGGGTTTCACCGTTCCGGGGCTAACCGGCCATTCGTTCCCAGGTGGGCTAGCTCGTCACGCAGGTCGTTAAGCGAACCATGGACTTACAGCAAGGGCCGGTAAACCTTTGTAACAACGTACGCAGCCCTTGTCTTACTGCCACTCACGTGTGGACCTACCTTCTGCTGCAAGTGGTCAGTCAGCATCTTAAAACATACTCCGGTTCGCGGTTCCGGAGCTAGAGCTCGCAGGGCACTCAGTAGCCCGGGTTTTCCGCGGTAGCGCATCTAAAATTTGAAAACCAGGCTGGGTTACTAAGGTCCACCCGTGATACTAATGACCGCATCTTGCACCAGCCATAGTTCAGGGTTTTCGGGCCAACCCGGCGATCTAAATAGGTAGGGTAGCCTTCGTCGGCTAACTTACAGGGACGACACGCGTCCTTCACGCACACAAAAAATCTTAGTTCTCTTACACAACTTAACGTGGCTGCTACGTCGTTTTTTTACCCGCCCGGGTGATTATTCAGAGGGTGCCCTGGGGCGGCACCCGGAACCCGCTCGCCCCTATTGGTGGGCGCCTTGGCCGGGCGCCCCCAATGGCCGGCTGCGCCGCCCTCCCGGGACCAATACTGGGCCCGCTCGGTCACGTCTACCAATGGTTTCGTCCGAGTGAGAATCTCTCTCTGGAACGGATGAATTATAAGAATCGCTCGGATCGGCCACATCATTTGTACCATTCCATCCTACGATGGCTGACTCAGTCCCTACCGGAGAAGCTCCCGCCGCCCCGCCTGTGCTGGACCTTGCCGTCCTCTGCGACGAGCAGGACCGGCTACGGTGGCTGCCGGAATTGGTGCTCGGTATCGATATAGGCACAGTGAACGCGAGCCCGGAATTTCGGGCCAATCTGGCCCGGCGGGTCCGACGTCTGCAGGCCCGGGTGCATCCCGACCGGCACTCGGGCGACGAATTTTTGTCGAGGTGAGTCATGGTCAGCGCTGTTTTACTGCCTCTTCCCTCCTGCCTCACTTTATTCACGCACATGTTGTGTTCGAGTAATTCATTTAATTTGATTTTTTACGTACCACTTCTTATTTGGCGTCCCTTTCTAATCCCGTATTCGATTCAAATCTAGTGTTGTATTCTGATCTCCCATACCCCGGTCTGTCTGTCTACAGGATCGTGAATATACCGCAACGGTCCTTCGGGATCACGGCGCGGAATACGCCCACTGGGCCTCAAAACAGGATGGGCCGGCCTCAATGGAGGTGCTGCGGGCCGCCACCTGCTACCCCCGCCCTTTCGTGACCTGCCCGAAACCGCTCGGACGCGCCTCGCCGACCGAGCCGACGGATTAGGCGCCCGTCACCTATCGGCCGAGACGGCCATCAAAACGGAGCGGCGGCGGACTCGAGAGGCCAAGGGCCAGGCCTTAGCGGCTTGCCTCGATGCTGCCGATGCGGAGGCCGCCGTGAGGGCCGCAGAGCGTCGGGCGGGGGCGGAAATCGTCCTCCTCCAAGCGCGCATCGTAGAGCTGGAGGCCCGAGTCGATGCCAAGGAGGCGGCCGTGTGCCGGCGGATCGCTGAGCTGGAAAGGAGTCTCCGCCTCCTTTCCCTGGAGCTGTACTCCGGTGCGATCGGATTGGGCACTCACCGATGTTCCCGCCCAGCTCTCCTCACCCACTTAATTGATTGATCAACTGGTCAACTGGGCATTAGAGACACGGTATGCTCTCTTTTGCATAAAAAGGGGACCTCCTTACTTCTCCGACACCTTGGCTGTTGTTGCACCCCATTGGAGCGCCCATTGCACAGCATGGACCGGTTTAAGCATTCCCAGTCGGCCGGTGACCGCGAGCCAGGTCGGACGTGCGCGCCCGTGGCTCCGCCCCCGACACTGAGACTGGTCGGGAGCGCACCGAGCGGCCTGAGCCGGACAGTGGTGCCGACGACTTTTGTTCGAACAGCCCAGCAGTGATGGCTGTGTGATTTTTTTCTGAACGGTGAAGCCTGTGGCTAAGATTTTGAGTCGCAGTGAGACGCTCGTGACTTAGAGTGGTGTGTTTTCGTGCCTTATCTGCCGGCATGGAGAACGCAGGTGCCAGGGACACAGACGCCAAGCACAGTGAGCGACACTCAGTCAGTGAGTTAGTGCGAAATTACAGTGACTCGCACAGTGAAGGACAGAAACGTGGCCGATCTGAGTCAGGTGACCCGGCGCCGGCAGGCAAACGTGGCGCCAGACAATCTAGCGGCGACACCAGTCGCAGTCCAGCTGCGCCGGGCAACCGAGGCTTCAAGGAGTACCTGGAAACCGCAATCGAAGGACTCGAGAACCGGATCATGTCGTCGCTGTCGCAGGAACTACACGAGTTCCGCGAGTCGCTCTCGACGGAAATAAGCAGACTGCAGGACCGCGTCAAGGACCTGGAGACGCATGTCGAGGAGCGGGACAGCGTGATCACGGAGCTGAGCGACGAGCTCAAGAGATCCAGAGCAGAAGTTTCGGCGCTACAGACACGCGTAGAAGAGGCCGAGATTAATTCGCGATTATCATGTCTCGTCCTCTCAGGCTCGTCCATGGCGCCCCGCCATGCCCCGCGCCCGGAGCCGCCCCT